AAGAAGACTCCAAAAAAAAAATTTAACATATTATTCAAGATCAATCGATTGAAACAGTACTTTAAGCATCAAACTTTATTATTTTCTCTCACCCCCTTTCTCTCCTTTTAATTCTCTCCTACCTATTTTCCTCTCCCTCCTCTCTCTCCTCTCTCCCCTTTCTCTTCCCCTCCCTCCCTCCTCCCTCCTTTCCCTACCCCTACCCCCTTCTCTCTCTCTATCTCTCTTTCTCTCTCTCTCTCTCTCTACATAAAAATCTTAGTTTCAACTAACCCATTTAATCACTCAGAAAGACTACCTACTTCACTAAGTCGTGGATGGTAGCTCTAAAAGAAAAATAATCTGACATATTATTCAAGATCAATCGACTGAAACAGCGCTTTGAGCATCGAGCTTTATTATTTTCTCTCTCCCTCTGTCTCTCCCTTTAATTCTCCCGTACCTATTTCTCTCTCCCTCCTCTTTCTCATTTCTCTCTCCCTTTCTCTCTCTCTCTCTCTCTCTCTCTCTCTCTCTCTCTCTCTCTCTCTCTCTCTCTCTGCATAAAAATCTTAGTTTCAACTAACCCACTTAATCACTCAAGAAGACTACCTACTTCACTAAGTCGTGGTTGGTAGCTCTAAAAGAAAAATAACCTGACATATTATTCAAGATCAATCGACTGAAGCAGCGTTTTGAGCATCGAGCTTTATTATTTTCTCTCTCCCTCTGTCTCTCCCTTTAATTCTCTCCTACATATTTCTCTCTCCCTCCTCTCTCTCTCCTTTCTCTATACCTTTCTCTCTCTCTCTCTCTCTCTCTCTCTCTCTCTCTATCTCTCTCTCTCTCTTTTGCTCTCTCCTTCTCCTTCTTGTTCTTGTTTTCGAAGTAGATTTTCACTCTTTATCTCTCTTGCTTGTACTTAAACACAACATATACAGCTTATAAAGATAAGGGTAGAAAACATAATATATTTTAGAACTCAAAGAAAAAGAATCTAACATATTATTCAAGATCAATCGACTGAATGCTTTGAGCATCCAACTTTATTATTTCCTCTCTCCCTCTTTCTCTCCTTTTAACTCTCCCCTATCTCTCTCTCTCTCTCTCTCTCTCTCTCTCTCTCTCTCTCTCTCACACACACACACACGCACACACACACACACACACATTAGTATTCTTGATCTCTCACTCTCAAGATTCATATTCTTGATCTACAAAAATATGTGATCGAAACTTTAACACATTTCATGATACCTCTAACTGTTCTATCCAAAGTCTTAAGACAATGTTTGCAAATCCATCCCTACCTTCACTTCGGTTGGCTCCATCTCTTCGATTGCCCAAAACACCTGATCCAGAACAGCAAATCACTGAGAGGCTTAAAGTACTGAATATACAAATCCAATAAAAGAGAAATAAGATCGCTTCTTCGAGTTCCGTTATGACTAAAGAACATGGAATGTGAACGTTGCGCATACCTGGGGACATCTCGACGTTATCTTAGATGGCTAAATGAACAAATTTTCTAGAAACCCAAAAGATAAACAGAATCAAACCTCGTCGAAATGATATTCCACAAGGATGTCTTTTCTTTACAATCGGACTTTGTTCCGCCTTAATAAATCAAGAATATTTCTATACAGCAAAAAAAAAAAAAAAATCAAGAATGAAACATTCGACTATGTGGAAAAAAAAACCGATTATAGAGCATGAGTGATCTACTGTACCTCGACTTTCTATTACGGTTAATCTAATAATTCTTTAAACAAATGGAACGATGTTTTAGAAAATACGAATATCTTGAGTACCTCTTTGTTTAAGCAAAACTTATTTAGACTAACTAATTCTTTTATTAAACTTGTTTTAGAATTTAGAGACATATTTAAAATCCTAATCTTTAAGAAATTTTGTGAATACTACCCAATCATTTCTCTAATATAATTTATTATTTAAAACAGATATGAAATCATTATGAAATTCATTATTTTTTTGCTTAACGGTTTACTATTAAAATCAGTGATTGGGTTATATTTACCAACCACGATATTGAAATCTAACACACACACTACATATTTTAAATCCATATATCAACTCTAACATTTAGAAAACAAATGAGATCATCGAGTGAAACATATAATGGATATTTTAATCTCTTTTTTTATATATTGTGGCCTCTTCTTAGACCACCAACACATTGAATGGGTATTTTAATTGCATCAACTAAATCTATGTAAAAATTATGAAATATATAACTTTATTAAATGAAAAAAGCAAAATAAATATATATATATATATGTCATATTGTAACAATCGTACAAAAAGCGACACTTTAAATCTAAACAGAATAACTAAAATCAGTCAACATGATCTGATACAAAATCATAAACAGCATTCTAAAATCCAAGAGGTTCTACAACATCACCAGAATAGGGAAGATCCAAATCTACACTCGCAATGCCTCCTTCGATGCCCACCCACTCGCCTCCATAATAGCACAAACGATCACGAATTCACGATCATCAGACCCTAATCCTAAACCAAAAAGTTTTTGTTATTGTAGTTGTTGTTCTCTTTCTTTTTTCACACACAAATCAGCATTCGACTTGCATTTGTTTAAGAAATGTTGAGACCAAAATTTGAAAAGAACGATGACAAACACTGTTTTTTAATCAAGTTTTCTTCTTGGTCATGGAACACATTTAAGTTACCAAAAGGCTTCATAAATCAATAATGTTTTAGATACAAAAGTCATCTAATGATATACATTGGTTCTGCAGGAGTATTACTTTCTCATCATCCCATCATTACCAATTTACCATGGAAGCAAAAGAAGAAGAATGCCGAGAGCATTGTCCATTGTTGTTGTTCTTCTTCTTGTTCAGAATCTCGTTTTCCACTCCTAATGTACTAATCTGCTATTGAACAAAACTTTAATCGACACTTTTGCCTTCTTCATGTAAAGCTCATATGTCTCTCTCCACAGCCACGAGTTGCTTCTCCTTCTGCATATCATTGATCAGCTTGGTTAAGGAAATTTTAGGCACTATTATAGCAACTGGTTCTGGTTCGTCCACCTCCATCGTGGTTGCAAAAGAAGATATAGTATCGCTGGTTTTTGCTGGGAGGAACAATGGTTCTAAATAGTTTGGCTTGAGTTCTTGTAGTTTATCACATAGTCAAATTGCCGCTTGTCTTTGTATGGAATGAGAGGAAGTGAAGTTTCTTTGTTTAGGACATAGAGAGGAAGACATTTTCTCTCAAACTCTCTAAAACTCTCGAGGGGACTCGTAAAGCTACGAAGCTGGACATAAAGCATAAATTGTTAAAACTTGTATTTAGAATTTTATTTATCTGAGATACAGTTAAACCATACAGAATGCTAAGAACAAAAAAATAATAATAGCCAAAACACAGCAAACAAAACAAAGAGGAACTTTAAAATAACTAATACCCCAATTAACTCTTTGAATAGGGATGTACTCTTTAAATAGGATTGTATGAAGAAGTACCAAATTGTTGTATCACGTTATTCTCAAGAATCCATGGCTACTCTGTGAGCATTTCTACAATATGCATTAAATGCTTCATATAACAATGACTATTATAACAGAGCAAAAATATGAAAATACAATATCAAATTATGACATGCATTATAAAAATTAAAACATGTAACTTATGCCGGAAGAAAATAGAGATTTGGATTTTACTTTGAAAAGAAAGAATCAGATGTTAATTTTGGCTGAGTATCTTTGCATCTTCAGGCGAAGTCACTTCTGTCACTGACCCTTCTGTACTTTTCTTCTTATGCACATCTTTCATCTTATTCTTATCTTTTTCCTGCTTTTTAGACTCCATCCTCTAGTTTAATTTAATCGAAACACAAATCATTATTCGTAGCACACGCCAAGGCTATTAACTGAGGGCACATAACTCCTCTTTTTGCAAACATATATCCTTGTAGACTAACGACACATATCCCTAGAGAAAAACAGCCAAACAAATATATTTATTGAAAGAAACAGTCATCAAGAAAATAGACACACATGAATCGAGTATGCTTGTTTACTTAAAAATGTTAGAAAGAAAACAGAATAATATGTATCTAGATTCACAAGTCAAACGGAATCATACATATAGATATTATTTGCTATCTCTAAACTGTTAGTAAAAAGGCTCTCGATGTTTCCTACAAACAACAACAACAGAAATCAGAGTAGTTAGGTTATATGGTGAATCAAAATTATCAAGACGAAATAAGTAAAAAGATATTAATATATCCTGTAAAAGAACAAAAATAATAAAGTTCATACGAAGATTAGTGTTATCAAATTAGGCATGTCTAAATGAAAAAAATAATCGAATAACCTACAAATTTTTCTGTTTTAGATCTGATGGCTAACTTGCTCGTTTCGTTTTACTATTTTTCTCACGATCTGAAAAAAAGCGAAAACAGTTTCATATCAAATTTGAGAAAATCAAGATATGTATGAACTAATTACGATCACGAAACCAAAACTGTATCCACTTGCGTTCATATCAAACAAATCATGGAACAAAACTATTGAGAAACAACGAAAAACAAATTTGAGTTAGAACAAACAACAATAGCAATATACCCGAAAGGCGACAAACAATATATATAGTAAAAGCGATTAGGGTTTTTATTAGCTATAAAACCCTAAAGCAAAAACCAAAAAATTAAACATATAGCCAATATGAGAAGAGATACACAATATTTATAAGAGAAGTGATTTAGGTTTAAGCATCTATTCGAAAATATAGAATATACGCTTTTGATTAATCGATATAAACAAATAATAGTATAGATTTAAGCATTTATATCACATAAACAATAAAAGGAATTTAATACCAATTTAACAATCCGAATAAAATCATGATGTTTTCACCCAAACCGGTAGTCGTGTTAAAATTTAATTCAAATGCATCTTTTGAGTATTATAAGCGTCGAGAGATGAACTTGTTTCTCTCGTGGAGTTAGGTTCCGCTAATGTGATGCGTTTGTATGTCAAACACAACATATATATACTGGGAAAAAGCTTGAAGACTATAAGTTGTAACTCACGGAGAACAAAAAGTATCTCGTATAAGAGGCAACACACAAAAAAACAAAGACAAAAACATCCATCACTACATACTAAGACATGGTGTGAGTCGTTTACTGAAGTATTTTTGTTTTCTCCATTTTTCTGGGTAATGCTTCCACAAATTGCACAAGTAGGTAAGCAAAACCAGACCAAAGATAATATCTTTACATATATATCTCTCTCTACTTGAAAGCATCTGAAGCAGAGCAAAGGAAGTCCAAGAACGCTGTCCCTTTCGATAGACCTTTACCTGTCAACAGCTCAAAATCTAACAGCAGCAAGAACCCTATCACCGCCGCTTTCCCGTTAATCACTTCGTTCTTCGCTGAGAAACCAAATCCTTTAGAACCCTCGGCCACCACCATTTCCACCTGATTCACAAATTGTTCATCACTCATTTCATGTCTATCTTTTTTATTTACCTCGTCTACATTGACATTCGTTGCTGTAACTCCAGGCTGAGCTTTTCCACTGAAGATGATCTCGGCCGCTGCATCGGTTTTCCTGTTGTCTCTAATGCTGATGTAGATGTTTTCTTCATCAAATTTGACAGAGTACACAAATAGTTCTCAGTGCAGTTGTCAAGACTCTAAGAACCGGCTTTTTTGGGTACCATTCTCAGATTTCTCCGGTTCTAAAATCAAATGTACTATTCGTTGATGGGCACACAATGCAACCATCCTGTTGTAAATGGAAAATAAGAGAGGAACAATATAATGTTAGAGAAATAAAAAAATTAGTGATCGGAAAGTAGTAATAAATTAAGACGCTATGCATTTTAGTCGTAGATGAAAACCATAACAAAAAAAACACTGTGAACATGGCATTCATAGCATGTGATGTACAACATTTTTATAAAGCGAACCTTTCACATACAATATTCGTAACATCTCAGGTGACTAACTGATTTAGTGAGAAATCAAGTAATTTTCAACATAGCAAAAATTTAACAGATCCAAACAATCTTATATAGCATTTATCATAACCACATTTCTTAATGGGGTAATACAAAACGTTCTTAATCTAACTCTGTGTACACATTTACATTTCTGTAGAATCACATGATACCAAAGCTTAGGCAGACCGGAATCGAAACCTATTAATGTCTACTGATTTGGAAATAACTCAATCCATGTGGTGATTACTGATTAAGAAGGTGAAGAGATCTATCCCATAAGGGTCACTTTCCTAAAGCTATCAATCAACTCGGTCGAGCATTTTCACAAACACCGTACAAATTCCAACGACGAAGAAATATCAAACGGCAGAAATAATAAAAACAATAAAAGACGGAGAAACCTGAGTTAGCTTAACAATGAGAATTCCCCAACTGTACGCTCCTTCCGCCGGAGAAGGATTCACAATCGCGAACACGTCGTTCTTGTACCAAAGCAGCAATATCGTCTCATCGTCTTGAATAATCACTCTCCGTTCACCTTTCAAAAGGGCCGATAACGGCACAACCGGTACGCAGTTACTTCCAGAGGAAGTAACAGAGGAAGAAGATACTTCCGTAGCAAATCACAATAGATTCAATATCATAACTAAGAAAGCAAAATTTTCAGGAGTAGTATAGACCATTGTACCTCCAATGTAGCGTTTGCATCTCGAACAGCAGCATTTGGCTTCTTCAACATAACGGAGACGCTAGCTGAAATACAAATAAAGACAATGAGGCACCAAAAAACCATTTGATAGAAGTTAAATGAACAAAATCGTCTTATACTCACCTCTGTTTCCATACATAATGGCTGATGTCGGGTTAAAAATTACTGACTGAGTTAGATGCTCAATGGCTTCATCAAACTTTCCTTCAGAGAGCTTCTTGAGCAGCTTCACGGTTCTCATCAGTCACCTCCATTGATGCATCCCCATCTGTGTCAAAACCAAGGGAGTTAAGAGATATAATCAGAGAGATATTAGTAATATCGAAACTGAGGTTTCGGTCGTATAACCTTTTAGGAAGATCATTGTCGGGTTCAGCAGTGTCTCCTTCAAGATCTACATCAGATTCAACAATCGCTTCATCCTCTTCTTCTTCCTCCACTTTGGGCTTCGGTTTACTCCATATAACCATCACTCTCTTCTTCCACTACGAAACTCCTCTGTTAATCAGAACCAATCAATCAAATTACAAAATCTTCTGCAAAATATAAACGAATTCAGACAAACATACAGCTTCGGTGTCTTTGTGTTCTTCATCAGCACCAAGACTGAAATCATGCGGTGTACAAAAAAAACATCAGAAGGAGAATAAACCACAGAACACTACTAAAATAAACCCAAAATTCTCGGACCCTCAAAAGTACAATAGAATAGACTCACAGATCAAAGATACAAAAAAAAGTTCAAATCAAGGAATTTAAAACCAAAGCGTGACTTTTCTTCAACAAAAGGGAAAAGCGGATATCAATTTCACGAAATTTCAGTGAGATTCAGAAAATAAAGCACTATCCACAAACATAGACTCAAAGATCAATACTTTCTGATCCCAACCACCACAGATAAAAACTAAAGCATAAAAAAAGATGATTAGATCAAAGCAAACAAAGTTAGAGAAGATGAAAAGTACTACCTCTTGAGGTACTCGCGGATGAAACAGAGCGTAGGTGTAGAGAGAAGGGAAGGGTACACTAATCAATGAAGGCCTTGAGCTCACTAAGCTTCGTGGAATCCATCTTTGCTTCCGATTGGAGAGAGAGAAGGACATAGACAGAAAGAGTGTGCATTTGATTTTCTTTCTCCATATACCTTTCAACAAACCAAAAAAGATCAGACTCATACCAAATAAAACAAAAATAAGCCTAGTCAATAAAATATATCGTGTTCATCTTTGTCTGGATTAAAAGGAGAAGAAGAGGGCTTCGATTCTTACCAGTATAATGAATATCATGTAGTCTGATAGACGTGAAAGACAAACATAAGGATAAAACAAACATACCTTTCTGTTTGACCTTTTAGGGCTGGCATTAGTTGATTATCTTTCTCCATATACCCTAAAATAAAAATCGATAAATCATACGCCAAATATAAGAAGAAACGAATAAATTATGATATGCATTAACTAAATTAAACACTCAAAAGCAGAAGAAGAAGGTTTGGATTCTTACCAATAATCGTGAATATCATGTCATCTGAAGCTCGATGTGAAGAAGAAACATAAAAAACATACCTTTTGTTTGATTTTTTAGGGCTAGCTTTTGTTGATTATCCTTTCTGCATATATCATAAAACAAAAACTTACAAAATCAGTCTCATACACCAAATATAACAAAAACAAACAAACAATAATATGCATGAACTAAACTAAACCTACAGGAAAATCTATATGAACGAAATTAAACCTACGGCTGCAAGAAAAATAAAAATGGCTAAAGAGGATTACACTATTTATAGAAAAATATATTTAGGGTTTACACAAAATAATATTTGGTTTACAATGAATAATTTTGTGGGCTACAGCCCAAAATTAAAATCAAAATCAATAACACTAAACCGAAAATTAGATCACGATTTTCATTAAGGGTATAATTGGAAAAATCAATGGCTAAAGTATGGTGAGAGCGAACGTAGGAGCGCCACATCGGAAATCTACTTCCTAAATAATAGTATAGATTGAAAAAAAAATTTCTAATAAACAGAAAAACTGTCGGCCCTCCTCTTCTCCGCCACATCCAACTTAAAAACTATCATCCCTCTGTCGTCCTCATCCTTCACCGGCGTCCTTCTCTTCCATCGGTGTGCAATTAATCAAAGTCCGCGATTTTTCCTATTTCCTCCTCTTCCTTATTTCTTCCACATCCACTTTTTTTGCCGCATCTTCATCCTTCGCCGACGTCCTCCTCCTCCATCATCGTCCTCTTCTGCAGGTATCATCGTCCACTTGGTAACTGATTTTCGATATTCAATTTTTGTTCTTTTTTCCTTTTTTTGCTTCCTTTTCAACCTAGAGGATAAAATTGTTTTTGAGAATCTGATTTTTGTAGATAAAGCAGCCCGACAGTTTTTTTCCAAATTTTTCTGAATTGGTAGAAAACATATTCTACCGTAGAAGACGGCTTCTACCATTAATAGACAATAGAGTAAATGACAGAATATATATTCTACCATCGGTAGATAATAGTGAAAATAGTAGAATATATATTCTACGACTAGCAGATGATAGAGCAATAAGCAGAATACGTATTTTGCCAAATCGTAGATGGTAGAATTTAAATTCTAAAAGAAGAAAAGAAAATTTATTTTTTTAAACAATTTTTTTCATAAATAAATAGTTTTTTGCTTTTATGTATTTTTCACAATATAATCTGATTTTTTTAGATTTTAAAATAAATTTATTAGAAATTTTTAATATTTTTGTTAGTGTTATTTAGTCAAAAATTGACAAAAATTTAATAAAATTTAGTGAGACAATAAGTTAATTTTTTTTACCTATTTTCATAACTTTCCCTATTTTTTTTCTCACAAAAACCCAAAACTCCTCAAGTCTCCCTCTACTCCTTCCCAATTCTTCGGTTAAAATTTTCCAATCTATCCACTTCTCTAACCCTAAAACCCTAATTTCACCTCCGCATAATCGCACTCGACGATTCCGTTTCATCTAATTCGTTATTTGATCTGATCTGACTTTTTCGATCAGTAATCGGATCTAGGTTTTTAAATCCGAATCAGAAACTGTAAATTCCCAAAATTTGATTATGAGGAAGAGAGAGAGAGAGAACCCTTGTTCGCTTTGCGGGCATTATCATAAGTACGAGGAAGGAGAAGTCTGTGGAATCTGTGGCCACCGTATGCCGGATCCCTCCCATGTGGTGGCACCGCAAGTCCACGTCAGCGCTTTTCCGTCGGAGATCTTGCCGGAGTTTCTTTACCTCGGGAGTTACGACAACGCCTCTCGCTCTGAGCTTCTCAAGACACAGGGAATTTCTCGTGTTCTTAATGTGAGTTTCTTTAATTTATCATAAACCTGTTCAATTCGTAGGAGGCTTAAGCTCAATTAGGTTAAAGTTTGTGAACTAGTTGTGTATGATTGGTTTTATCTTGATCTGATCATTGAATTAGTTTAGTCTTGATCGAAGTGTGGAATTGGTTTATTGAAACATTGACTCATAAGAGATCGTAGGATTTTGCCTTGTAGATGAAATCTTCTTTAATCTTGCTTTATCAATTATCATATACTTAAAAGGGTTTTAAAAAGTATTGAACATTAACATCAAATTCAAATATTGAAAGCATATATGGTTCTGCTTTCTTTCACTTATGGTTTCTGTTTATAGTAATTGCAAAGGAATATGTTACTCGTATTGACTCTGGTTTTTGTTCTTTCTTCTGTTCGAGCAGACGGTTCCCATGTGCCAAAATCTCTACAGGAACTCATTCACTTATCATTGCCTTTCTGATGAAAAAGTCTTACAATTTGATGATGCTATCCAGTTCTTAGGTTTGATTCCTATCTCTACCTCCAAAGCATTGATTTTTTTTCTTCTTTTTCTTGTGTTATTTGGGGTCTAATCCATCTCTTGTGTGTTTCTCCTTGATTTTACTCTGTAGACCAATGTGAGAAGGACAAGGCACGTGTTCTTGTGCACTGCATGTCGGGGAAAAGCAGGTGAATATCATTTATTATCTACTTCTACTATAAATATTTGTGGCTTGTCTTTAGTTTTTTGCAACTTACTATGTCTCATAGTCACATACAATTTTTAGTCTTACTCTCTCTATTCTTAGAGATTTCGGAGCTTTAGTGTTGATTGATCCCTCATGTATATCGGTTACGTTACAGATCACCAGCGGTTGTTATAGCGTACTTGATGAAACGTAGAGGGTGGAGACTCGCTGAGAGTCATCAGTGGGTTAAACAACGGAGACCTACAACTGAAATAGTTCCAGGCAAGTATTCACACTTTTAGGTAGGATTAAGAAACTTGATAATTCTTGAAACTGCTCTGCTTATTTTGTTTTCGTCTTCTCTGCGCAGAGTTCTACCAACAACTGGAGGAGTTTGAGCAGACGATTTTCGGATCAAGAGAAGGGATGATGTCGGCAATGAACATCAACGATGCTCCAACATTTGGTTTTGGTTTCCCTAAGGTTAATATTAATCAACCGCAAGTCCCTGTGTTCAACAATGCTCCTACTTCATCTATATTTTCATCTCCTGCTTCAAGTGTCCCTCCTCAAGAGTTCACTTTTGGAGCAGCTCCAACGAAGCCAACAACCAGTGGTGATATTACTATGGATGGCTCTTAAAATAAACTGAATTTTCATACTCTTTGCAACCAAAAAACATACTAAGGATGTTTTTTTTTTTTTTTTTTTTTTTTTTTTGTAAATGGATATTGATGCATGCTTAAGGGAGTTTGGGTTTGAGTCTTTGAGAGATTACATGAGATGAATCTTTGTTGTTTTGGTGTTGTGCATCTATCTCTCTTCGCTAAAGGAAAGCATCTTTGTCTGGCTTAATCCTCATCCTCCCATGATTATGTACTTATCTTGACAGTGAAACGCCATTACACAAGTTATGCCAATGGACACCAGGCTGGGTCTCGTCTATTTGTCTTGGCCTTCAAATAAAAAAAGCTTAGACATCCAATATATATTTTTGTTCTTTTTAATTAGACGTTCTCAATCTAATATATTATTATTATTTACGAAGTTAGAAATGCCACAATGCTTCTGGAAATATTCGGATTTTAAATTAATTGGTTTGACTTGGTTCGTATTTGGAAATCGATTATACTAATTTAAATTTTATACCGGTTTTCAGATGATGTATCAGTTGGATTTTTTGGAATTTGTCTAATGGACCATTTGAAAAAGTTGGCTGCCTCTCAAAATTACAATACTCGCATATGTCTCACTCATCTAAATAACTGTTTAGGTTTATTTATTTATTATTGACGTGTAGGTTATAGTTTAGGGTTTTGTTTTTGTTTCATGCAGTATGTTTTGTTTCTTACAGTTCTAATTTTGTTTTCTTGGTTTTTCGTTATGTCGCATATAACTTGCAAGAGAGGAGAGCTAATTAGGTTTCATCGTTTCGTTTTGGTTATATAGCTTCCAGGCTTATGGCTGCTGATGGTCGTGAGTTTAGTTTGTAGAAAAGGTATTGCTGCTTAAACTTTTTCCCACTTGAATTCATCGTATGTTGATTACAACTAATGCTTTGTTATAAATTTGTTTTGATTTATTCAATATATTGTTTTTCCCGTTGATGCTGTTTGTTGCTTTGTCTTTCTTTTCGTTTTGGTTATATATATATATATATATCTATTTTTGATTCTATAGTTATATCTCAGTTCATGTTTTGGATTGGTCTACGATGTTGGTTTCTTTGTGGATTTAGTCGTTATATGAAATTGTTTGTTATTTATAAAAGGGATTCTTGCAAAAATGACCTAAAATTTGATTTGAATTGCAAATCTAACCTACAAAAATCACCTTCCCAACATTTGCCATTTTGTGTCCAAACAATCCTTCATAGTTTCAGTTATTCATGAAATTGCCATTGTTTTTAATTAATTTCTTTTATTTTTAGAAATCCAAATGACCAACTAATCCTCATCTTCCTCACTTATTTACGAAAATGCTCCGAAAGTAGACTTCTCTCGATCCGAATGAAGTCTACTAGTCAACGCCCAGGTTAGTTTTGCAATTGACCGCATGAAAAAGTAGACTTCTTTTGGTCCAAATGAAGTCTACTCCATTTCCTTTGATAACAAAAAAAATGGAGTAGACTTCTCGAGTAGACTTCTTTAGAAGCAGGTCATTTTTGCAATTGACCAAACTTTGTAGAGTAGACTTCTCTATGCAAAGTAGACTTCTCAGAGAAGTCTACTTTTCAGAGTAGGCTTCTCCGAGAAGTCTACTTTCGTAAGTAAACTTCTCGCAGGTCATTTTTGCAATTAACCAAAAAGTCAAATATTTTGCAATTGCAAAAATGACCTGCGAGAAGTCTACTTACGAAAGTAGACTTCTCGGAGAAGTCTACTTTTCATAGAGAAGTCTACTAATATTTTGGCAATTGCAAAACTAACCTGCGAGAAGTCTACTTTTATCCGAGAAACCTACTTTTCTTGTTTTTAAAAAAAAATCATTTTTATACAATATATAACAAATTTTTAAGATTTTCGTGATCCTAAGCTTCTGTTATTAAGTTTTCTTGCTTATGTATAAGTTTTGCATGTTTATATTTTATAGGTATAGTCGAATGAGTTTTCATGTTTTATATGATACTTAGCTTATTAAGAGTAGACTTCTTAGTCTACTCTAGAAGTCTACTATGTAGACTTCATCCGACTTTCAGAGAAGTCTACTTATGCAATTTTTTATGTCTAATGTAGTTTGGATTTTGTTCTTTTTTCACAGAGAATGGCTCACATACCCGCTGTTTATGGAGAATGGGTTAAGAGTGAATCAGTGTGGCAGTTCGAGGTGGATAATAGCAAAGGAGGGCGAATGTTGTTCTTAAGAGATGGTTGCACACATGGTGAGCTTCTTGGTGAATGTTGGCAAAGGAGGGCGAATAGCAAAGGAGGGCGAATGTTGTCACCTTTAAGTTATGTAAAATTAATGTCTTTAAGAAGTCTACTCGAGACAATGAGAAGTCCACTTTAGAAGTCTACTCGAGACAAGAGAAGTTTACTCGGTTGACAAGTTATATGATATAAATGAGAGAAATGTCCCTCTGAATCACTTTTAAGTTATGTAAAATTAATGTATTTTAGAAGTCTACTCGAGACAGGAGAAGTCTACTCGAGACAAGAGAAGTATACTCGGTTGACAAGTTATATGATATAAATGGGAGAAATGTCCCTCTGAATCACTTATAAGTTATGTAAAATTAATGTCTTTAAGAAGTCTACTCGAGACATGAGAAGTCTATTTTGTAGAATAGATAAACATATATAATTTAGGAATTTGATACAAAACATTCAATGCAATTCAACATTACATAGAAAATAACCCTCTAAACAAACAAACATTTAAGGATCACTAATTATAAATCTAAAAACTGGCATAAGAAATTACTAGTAAACTAAAATCTCTGAAAATTATGTATGCAACTGAAGTCTGCTTGAGATCGAAAAGTCTACTCGAGAAGTCTGCTCGAGATCGAGAAATCTACATTCAGATCTGCAAAAAAATCAACAAAATTCAGCTCTGCAACAATAACAAAAAATGTAGATCTAAAACAAAATCTATAAAATTTATACAACAATAAACTCAGATCTACAAATATAAACTTAGATCTACAACAATAAGCTCAAATAAAAACTAATAAGCTCGGATCTATAATAATAAAATACTATATGTATAACATTCAGACCTGTACAAAAATCAACAAAATTCAGCTCTGCAATAATAACAAAAAATTAACAAAATCTACAAAATTTATACAACAATAAACTCAGATCTACAAAAATAAACTTAGATCTACAACAATAAGCTCAAATCTATAATAATAAGCTCAGATTTGCAATATGAACACAAAGCAAACAAGAAGAGGAACACAAAATCTCAGATTTGCTTACCACTACCATAACCTGCAAGTGAGAGGAGGTTGAATGCAAGATAGAGAGGATGGAGAGGATATTGATAGCAAGAGAGGAAGGAGAAGGAATTCATGGCCAGAGAGAAGGGAGAAGAGAGAGAGGCGGTTTTTAGATAGAGAGAGACTTTATTGTTAATACAATTAGGTTAATCTCTCCTTATATATGTAGAATAAAATTCGTGTAAGTAGACTTCTCCAAGAAGTCTACTCGAGAAGTCTACTCGAGAAACCGAGAAGTCTACTCGAGAAACCGAGAAGTCTACTCGAGAAGTCTCTTAGTATTGATTTTTATCCTAATTTATCTATGATGATTTAAATTGATTATTTTCTGTCAAATTTTATTTTTAATAGGTGTAAAAAAGTATATATTTGTTGTTATGTATCTAATTTTTTTTTTATCAAATTATCTTTTATGATTTTTAAAATTAATTGTAAACATATTATTAAAGAGTATACTTCTTGGAGAAGTCTACTCGAGAAGTCTACTTAACTTCTCGAGTAGAATTCTCTGGGATAATATAGTAATTGAGGTTTGCGTTTTTTTGTTTGGTCATAAGGGTTAAAGTTGTAATTTCACTACCTCTGTGAGTTATTTTTGTCAAACATGCAATAGAGGGTCTAGTTTTGCATTTCAACTCAAGTTTTGAGTCATATTCAGCAATTCTCCCTTTATAAAATTATCTTAATTTTTTCGTCTTAAACAGTAAGGATACTCGGATGACTATCTTGCTTTTCCATCTACCGAGGAACCAGGACATCATTTTCTCAGAAGATTTTTCACCACCTGGTCATGGATATTATTTTCAAAGGTCTCAGTTTCAGAGTTAGATGGACTACAACAAACACCATCCAGAGTGGAGGCATCTTCCATATACTGAATTCCCAATTTAGTTTGTTTGGCATAGAACATCAGGGAATGGCTACCGCGACGTTATTATAAGTCTAGGAGAAATACGGTAGGACTTCCCTATGTGAAGCCAGAATGTGGTGAGCTCTATTACCTCGGAACATTATTAGCTGTTGCCAGATGACCGACGTGGTTCGAAGATATCAAAACGATTAATGGTGTTATATACTCATCATTCGCTGAAGCCATTGAAGTCTGTTTTGGTTTGGGATTAGTCGAGCGACATTTTCTTACAAATTAACGAATATTATAATGTGTTGGATTTTGGGTTTACGTGTTTTTTACTATGTAGTCTGTGGCTGGTGTTTTTTTAATTTGGTATCTAATATATAATGGGTCTGACTGGTATGTCAGATGAATAACATAATAGCGGAATAACTGAAAAATTACTAGCGGAATGAACTGAACTGAATAATATTTTAGCTGAATAATTGTGAAACGCTGAAAAGCTACTTTTAGTAGATTAATCACGTTTTGTTTTTTTTTTAGTTTTATTTTTAACACGCTAGCGGAATCACGTTTCAAAAACATAAAAAAACGTGAAAACGTGATGAATAACATGAATGGTAAAAAATAACAGAATCAAGTTTCCAAAACGTGAAAACGTGAAAAAGCTGCATACCATTCAAACCCAATATTTTAATTTACTGTCTTATTATGTATGCCATTGTCGATCATCATTTTACCACGTAATTTATACAGTATGGTTGTGTCGTTTTTGACTTATATGTTTGTGTTTGGTTGAAAAAGATGAGATCCATCATATTGGTTTGTTAGAATTTTCGTCATAAGTTTTATGAGATTGTAAAAAATATTATCGTTGGAATGTATAAATGTTAACATGAACTCTCGCGTATGGAGTTTTGGCTTCGATAAAGACTCTATG